GCAGACTGGGTCACAGACCCCTCATATGCAGGTCACGAGCTAGGTAATTGGAAAGATCCTGGGAGCCATGGGTAGTTGATATGCTTTATTCAGACACGAGCACAGCCCCCAGTCCGCTCAGCAGCAGCAGCTTACAGCAGATCCAGCAGTGGAGACAGCTCCCTGGTGGCCTCCTGGGAGCATCCCCAGGGGCACTGTGGATCAGAGCCATTTGTCCTTTATACTTAAGTCAGATAACCCAGGGATGCCAGAGTCCGAGTCAGATAACCAAAGAACACCTGGGTGCACATGCACAATTACATCAGACAATAGCCAAGGAACACCTGGGTGCACGTGTGCAGTTAACATGTTTACGTTAAACAGGCTAGGTCAAGCTCCGCAAGATTCTGAACAGCTGAGGGAGCCTGACCGTTTGTGTCATTTTTCTTTACACTGCCCCACTGGGCAGCCACCCTGCTCCAGGGGCCTAGGCTTGGTCCTGTGCTTGGGGAGATGCAGGCCTGCACCTCACCTTTCCCTGCTTCTTCTACCCTCTGCCCTTCCCAGCAGCACCTGCCTGCCCCAGGGGGCAGTGGTCACATGGATGGAGGGGGTCCCTGTCGAACTCCCAAGGTCTGGGAGTATGGCCACTGCTATGCAAAGGCGCCTTCTCTCAGCCCTTCAGCCCCGTAGGCCCATCTCACTCCCTTGCTCCACAGCAGGTGCAGGCAAGCAGGGTTCTGGGCTCCCCCCACCTCCCCCTGAGTCACCAGCATCTCCTTTCCCAGCCTTGTCTCTGGACCTACTAAGACCCGGGTGTCCCTGGTCTTGTTGACATAGCCTGCAGCTCAGGGCCTGCTCCAGGCTGAGCAACCAAGGAGGGGCGAGCATTCCCAGAAGACTGAAGCTCAGGGGGCTGAGCCCGTACCCCGGGCCGCAAGTGTGCACCGAGAACCAGCCTAAGGCCTGCTAGAGCAGCACAGAGCCTCCTGGAGCTCACATCCTGGGGAGCAGGAGGGAAAAAAGTGATCAAAACCAAATCTGCCAGGGGGTTCTGAGTCTGAGAGACCACTCGGGGCCTGAACCCATTGCTTCCGGCCTCCTGCATGGTCCTTGTGGACAGCCGGGTAGGACAGAGCCGGGCTAGGTGGACCCTTGGAGGTGCTGAGGTTCCCACCTGCCTCCCTCGTGCCCTGTTCAGCACAGGGGAGCAAAAGACCATGACCATTTGCTCTCAGCCTGCTGGAGAGCAGAAGTGAAAGCCCCTCAAAAAGAAACAAACAAACAAAAACCTCGCTCATTCTTCTTTGAGAACAAGTGTGGAAATGACATTGCCTCTGTCTGATGCTGGCATTTGATGACGGTGGGATCGTGAGCAAGTCACGTCCCCTTCCTCGACCTCAGTTCCTCATAGGTAAAAATGCCCGTTGTACCAAAAGTCCCTGTGACAGGAGCTGCCCATCGGCCCAACATTCAGAACATCCACCCCAGCCCGCCTGCAGCCTACGCAGCTTTCGAGAAAAGCCCACAGCCCCACTCCCCGACTCCCTCCCTTCCTTCTGTGTGATGCCCTATCTGGCCCTCTCTACAGATGTGCCCATCTGGTTTGCCCTTGGCCCAGGTTGTCAGCACCCACTGTAAGGCCAGTGCCCCCTGAGAGTTGGCTCCTCAGGCTTCACCTCTGGTGTCCTCCCGCGGCCCGGAGTGGCTGCCTGACCACTGTCCATGCTCAGCTTTCCTCTACCAGTGGCATCTCTCTGTCATCATCAAGGGCACCGTACCCAGCTAAGAGATTACCTTCCGGTCCCCCCTTGCAGCCAGGCATGGTCATGTGACTCAGAGCTGACCAATGCAAGCAGAAGGGTTGAATGGACTTCAGGAAAGGCTCTTCAATCATCCTTTTACCTTCCCTCCTTCCTTCCTGCTGCCTGGAATGCAGCTGTGATGGCTGGAGCTCCTGCAACCACTATAGAACGAACCATCCTTGACTTCTCCCTTTCAGTCACACCCCTCATCCAATCTGCCAGGAAATCCTGCTGAGTCTGTGTGCAGATACCCATGATTCTGACACCTCTCACCACCTTCTGCATCCCCAACCCCATCTGGGTTATCACCACCTCTCTCCTGGATCGGATTGCTGCAATGTTCTCCTTAGTGGCCTCTATAGTCTGTGCACTGCTCAGCAGCCAGAGGGTCAGATCACCTCAACCTCTGCTCCCTCGGCCCAGGTCTTCACAGGGACTCTGCCCAGTCTGCCCTGTCACCCCTCTGAGTCCTCTGCAGGGACTTCCCCCTCACTTGCTCCACTCCAGCCACACTCCTGCTGGCAGATCCCTCCCAGGCCTTTGCACTGGCTGTCCCTCTGCCTGGAGCACATCCCCAGGTATTCCTGGGCTAAGTTTTCCCACCCCTCGTGCCTCTGCACACCCCTACCTCCCCATGCGGCCCCTCTGCCCATGCTACTGAAGATGGCAGCCCAAGGTCTTCCCGTAGCATTCTCCGCCTTCAATGTGCCCTGACTTACTACTGCTTACTGCACCACGTGCTTGCTGTCTGCTCCTCCCACCGAAACGAAAGCTCTGTAGTGTTTGCTGAAGGATAAATGAAACTCGCAATGGAAGATGGAGGTCCTGGTGAGAGGAAGTCACTGTCCCAGCCCCGGCCACCCACCCACCACCGAGAGTGGCAAACCTCTGGTGTGTAAGGTGCTGTTGTTGGTGCTGATAGAGGCAGCCAGTGGCAATCCATAACTGTTACCCTCTCCATTTTACAGATTGGGAAACTGAGGCTTGGAGAGATACAGTGATGTGCTCAAGTCCACATGACTCCTAAGTGTGGGGCTGATGCGTGGACACAGGTTGCAGGTCACTGTGACTCCAAAGCTCACTGTACCTCTAGGCCACTTGCATCTGACCCCTGCTCTGAGCTGAGGATGGGACATCCCTGAGTCTTTCGGCTGCATCAAGTCTGGCACCATGCTGTGTGGGACTGGCGGTGGGGGCCGCTACAGGCTGCTTTAGAGAAAAGAGGACATAATGAACCTCTCCAGATCCAACTCCAGGCTGGCCCATGTGCAAAGCTTTGGGGGCCTCATGAGCCAACCCTCTGCAGACCTCTGAGAGAGGGGGCAGCTAGTCCCAACCCGGGGCACCCCGCTTCCCTGGTCTCAGAGTGGGGAGCCCTTGCCCAGCCCAACCAGTGGTGGGTGATGGCAATGTGGTGTCTGGCAGCAGGTGTGTGGTCCCCAGGGCAGGGCCCACGGGAGCTGGGGGTGCAGACTCATCCCTATCCAGGCAGCAGCATCAGGGAGGGCAGAGCTGGACGGACAGTGTGACCGTGTGGATGTCCCCAGCTCAGACAGAAGCTGCAGGTTATGATCTTGGCCACCAGGAGGAAACGTCCCTGGATCTTTCCTTATCGTCTTGTGATTAGCGGAGGTGGCTGAGAATTCAACAAGACTGAAAGCCTGCTTTCTTCTACATCTTTCCCCTTTTCTAGAAATTCCAGACATGAGGGGAGAGCTGCCTGGACAGATAGGTATAGAGTTGCCCGCCCAGACACAGGGAGACGCTCACAGCAGCTGTGAGCGCGCAGACCCCAGGTGCCGTGAGCCCCCTGCAGACCCCGCTCGATCTGACTCTCCTGCGTGGGTTCCTGGGACATTGGCACGTGGTCACCGTTCCTGTGCGGGGCTGGAGGCAGATCCGTGGGGGCACAGAACAGAACGGCCATTTCTGAGCACACTCTCCATCTCATTTCCTTCTCTAGACACTCCCAGCAGGTCAAGAACTGGCACTGAAACCCAGCGTCACTTGACCCTGAGGCCTGGTCACCCAGCAGGCTGTGCAGCTCAGGTCTCCAGCTCCAGGCCTCGGCCCTCCCTAAGCCAGGCAGCTGCCATGGCCACCCGTCGCGCAGCCTCAGCCCGGCAGTGTGGGGCAAGGCTGGGGCTGAGACTCCAGCACACACACAAGCAGGGACCCTCTGCCCAGGCAGGCTGCTGAGGGGCACAGACCCCTCTACCCAAGGACCTGGGTCACCTCAGGCTGCATCATGGGGGTTGAGGGTGTCCTGGCAGCAGACGTCGTCCCCAAGCTCACCAGTGTGAGACACCCCAAAGGCTCTGGCCCCAAGAGTGAGAGGGAACCATAATTTCATGCCGCAGAAGGGAGAGGGTGGCAGCGGCAGCCAAGGCACTGGGGCCTTCCCACAAAGCCTGGGCTGGGGAAGGGCCCGGAGTTCCCATCTGCTCCCCACAGCCCCTTCAGCTGGAGCTGCCTGTTCAGCGGCTGGTCCACCCAGGCCCCACAATGGGGTAGACCTCACCAGGACTGGCCCCTCCCGGGGCGGCAGCTCAAGGAGCAGAGTGTCGCCTGTCTCCCTTGAAAGGTGCACCCCAAATGGAGCTTGTCTGGACACCAGGAGGCCTGTGGGCCCTGCCCAGGCCCCAGGGAAGGTTGCGACCCACAGGGCTGGGGGTGACTGGAAGGTCAGATGGTCCTGCCTCGCATGGGGACTCCTGGGCTGACGACCCTGACCCTGAGAATCCTTGGCAGATCCCCTGCTGGTTCCCATCTGTGGAAGTCTCTCCGGCCTTCCCTGCTGTCAGAACCACAAGAGCTCACCCAGGAGGCCCAGGGGCCTGAGTGACAAATCCCTGACTTCTCTTGGCTAGGCTTGAGGACAGGGCTATGAGGGGGGCACAGCTGGGTGTCCTGGGGCACAGTTGGGCTGTGTCCAGGTTTCCCCATCCAGCAGCTGCAGCCCCCCAGGCAGGACAGCAGCCCCGGGGAGGTATGCAGGAATGTGGCGTGCCCGGGCTGGGGCCGTGCTCCCAAGAGCCTCCCCAGCTGTGCAGGGCCCAGGCAGATGGAGCCTGGGTAATTAAAGCTGGTGACAGGCGAGGACTGATGGAGACAGGGAGAGCAGGTGGGGACTGCAGGACAGGCTCCCTCAGGGACACAGGCCCTGCCGCTCCCCAGGCAGAGGGCTGGAGCTGGGCCCTGGGGGGTGGGTGGCCTTCATGGAGGTGGGGGTCCCAGGCGGCAAGCGAAGGCTGCAGGGGCCAAGGGCAGGGGGGTTTAAGAGAAGCTAGTTCTAGGCCACCCCGGGCCAGGCTGAGTCACTGTGTGCCAGCACTGGCCAGGCCCTCCGGGTACACCCCAGACTCTTATCTAATCCTTAGGCCCCGTCCCATGGCCAGGAATAGAATTCACCTTTGACGGGTAAGAATGCCCAGCCGCTGTGGGATCTGTCACCCCAAATGAACAAAGGCAGACTGTGTGGCCCCGGCGTGAGGGCGGCGGGCTCCAGACCGGACGAGGCCCTGGGCTCAGCTTCCTCACCTCTCCCGGCCCTCCGGCCAGCCACAGGCCAGCGTCTTCCTGGAGCCTCTGTCTCCTCCGCTGACATACAGCGCTAGCCACCCCTCCCTCCCACAGAGAGCCTGGCACACAGATGGCACACAACGAGGACCTTCCTCCCCTAAAGTGGCCACCATGGGCTCTAACACCTCCTTTTCGTGGTCATCAGACATTGCTCGTGAAAGACTGGCCTTTTACTGGGACCCTGGGAGGTCACAGGCCTTCTGTCTCCTGGGAGTGGAGGTGGCAGTCACTGTACCTTCCTCGTCAGGTGTCATGAAAGCGCCCTGGACTGCCCCCGGCTAGTATTATGGTCGTTGCTGTTATCGGTGCCCAAACAAACACAGACGCGTTACAGGACGGGATGCAACATGTGGGTGAAGTGTCCAGATAAAGCAGGAGATGTAAGAAATTCCAGGCTAGGGGGGTGCTAAGCCCCAAACCCTGGGCACCCAGGGCACAGCCAGGGCCCCCAGTATCCGGGGCTGATGACGAGGGTCAATCAGACTTGAATTCCCAGTCCCAGGCTCCTCAGTCTGTCTCCTCTCTCCCAGCAGCCCCCAGAGAGAAGGGAGTCTCACACACTACCTGCACCTGAGCCGGCAGTGGGCAGCGGGCTCTCCTCGGCCCGGGGACAGGCTGAGGTCCCAGGGACCAAACGGAGGGTGGGGATGGCTGGTGCAGACAGCGGAACCTGAGAGTGGGACACCAGCCCCAGAGGACGGCCCCGACGGCCCACCCTCCCATGCACAGGCCCCCAGGCTGCCTGCCCTTGGATGCTGGGATGTGGCCAGGGGAAAGAGGGCGGGACACGTGGGACTGTCAGCTGGGCACTGGCAGGGAGAGACTTCAAAAGTGTGCAGTGGCCACTGCATGCCCTTTGTCATGCCTTGCGGTCGCATCCCCAGCCCTCTGCCGGGTTTTTTTCCTTTCCCACGCCCCGCACAGACACATCCTGAGCTCAGCATCTCAGCGGTGGATGGTGGTGGCGGTCCCCACGCCCATCCCATCCCTCAGCTCCTGGTGAAGAACAGAGCCTCAGGAAGCCACCCACAACCCTTCGCGGGGGCCCCCAGCCCCAACAGGGGTCGTGAAAGGGACCCTTGTGTGGTGAGCGCCTCCCTAGGGGCTGAGCCACAAGGTCACCTCGTTTCTCAGCTGATGGAACTGAACTCACCAGTGTTCAAGGCTGTATGTGGGAAAGTCACTCCACCAGGAGAGTCCCAAGAGTACCCAGGCCTGGCTTTCCTGTCACTGCGACCCCGAGCCCATGGGGAAGAGCAAGTCCACTCCGCTATCTGCAGACGCTGCCACAAAATCAGCGGGGCCCAGTGCAAACTGAGAACTGGGGGCCCTTGTTCAGAGGGCAGGAAAGACGCCGTGAACGGTCCTGAGGTGCAGCGCTTCTGCCTTTCTTCCACACTTGCCGTGGTGGTTTTTATTTGCTATTTAATGTCGTTCTAATGTCAATAAAAATTTTAAGTTTAGATTACTGGCTGCCTTTTGCCGTTCACTTCGTGCTGCGCAGTGCCAGCCTGACGCGCAAATACAGGTGGAGTCGCTGAAGTCACACGGTTCATATTTTGCAGCCGGGACATGCCCGTGGTTTCGTTACCACCAAAACAGCACGGACGCCGCACAGCCGCTCGCCTGCTTGTGTCACTTCTCGGCGCACGTGCACACTGCCCAGGCCCGCCGCCTCCCGTCGCTGGTGCGGGAAGGGCAGGAGCGGCTGCCCGCTTTCCCCTTTCCCTCTATGTCGTCCTCCTGAGCAGAAGCAGCCGGCTGACCCAGGGGAGAGAGAGCTCCTTGGTCGCTCGTGTTCCTGAGAAGCCATCGCTTCCTCTCCACGATTGAAGCGATTTCTGGTTCTAATGGAAACTGTGGCCTGCAGGGCTGGCAGCCGCCCACGCCTCCCACAGGACGCTCTTACCCTGTAGCCCTGGGCCCCGCCGACCTCGGGAGGCACCACGGATCCACCAGGTCCTGTGCTCACTGAGCACTGCAGACCCTGTGTGCAAAAGTGTCCTCGAGGACCGGCACAGACATGTCCACTGCATGCAGCAGCTCTGCACACGGGCGTGCTCCATCCACGGTCCCCCCGGACCTCACAAAACACAAGCTCAGAGACAACGTTATCAGGAATTTCAGGGTAGCATTAAACCACAGGGCTCTCCTAGTCCGGGCCCGCTGCAATGGCACTGACTGCCACCCATGAAGCCACCTGTTTCTTGGTAAAGACATTTGTTAAAAATGTGAGAAATGGCTCAGGGGCTGGTAGAACGGCTGGGAGAAGAGGGGTCTCGGGCCGGGGGAGGGAAGGCAGAGGCACCTGCTGGGCCTCGGGCGGTTCCTTCAGGGCTGGGTGCTGGGGCTTCTGGGCCTCCCTGCTGGTGGCAGAGCCCACTAGGCTGTGGGGGTCCCTCGGCCAAGAATCATGCATGACCCCTGCCAGTCTCCAGGGCAGAGCCCCGTGCTCAAGACTGGGGTCTCCTGGCAGGCAACGTGCCCCAGGCCAGCCTCCCACTATGCCGGGTTTGCATCTGCCCACCTGAAGGGGAGCCCAAGCGGTCAGGGACAGGACCCGTCCTCTTCTTGGAGCCCTGAGCACCAGGTAGCAGCTTCTTCAGGGGGAGCCCCAGGCATCAGTGGAGATGGAGCTGGGGCTTGGGGCGTCTTGCCTGTTTAGCAGCAGTAGCGTCACTTAGGATATCAACAAGCATATGACAAAACGCTGCCATGCAGGTGCAGGTGGGGGATGCACAGGAGGACCCCACAGCACCAGGTCCCAGAATTCTGTTTGAAAGGGGTTGGGGTTGCACCTGGCAGAGGCAGGGTTGGCAGGGCCAGGGACCCTGTGAAGCTGAGCTGTTTTCTCGTGCAATGTCTGCTACAAGTTTATTAAACACAATTTTTTTCTCTATACCACTTTACAAAAGATCAGAGCTTGTCGATTGTACAGGAAAGATTTCATCACTTCAGCAGGTGGTTGGGGGTGGTGGTTGCTACCAGTCTTCACTGCTCCCTCCCCCAGAGGAGCCGGGCTGAGCCGGTCCCCCCAGGCCCGCAGGTGTGAAATGGGGGAGAACTGCGAGTATGAGAAAGAAAAGTCCTACTGTGTAAGGAACACCCGGGGAGGAAGGGACGGGGTCTCCCTCCCTCATCCAGCCGCATCCCTCTGCGCCCTTGCTGAGAGACACAGCCCTCCTGGCCGCGCTTGCCCCCAGATCGCCACCGCACCAGGTGACAGCGCCCCACTGCCAAGAAACTCAAACTCCTGCCGGCCAGCCCTTCGCGCGAAAACTCACGGTGGCGGCGCCTTCGATGGGACACTGGCCCCATCTCACAGAGGGCAGCCTGCGCTCGGGCACACTCAGTGCCAGTCCCCAGAGCTGAGGGCAGGGATCCCCTTGGGGGAGATGTCCTCCAGCCCGTGGCGGGGGGGCTGGAGCGTGGCTGGTGAACAAAGACCACGTGAGCAGATAAATCAGCGGCCCCGTCACATTTCCTGGCCTGAAAGCTCCTGTAAAACACGGGAGAAAATTGACCTGTCAGGGGGATGGATGGGCCGCGATCACGACCGCCCACCGGGGCAGCCTCCCCTGCACCCTCAGGGTCCCACCTGCACGGAGCGCCCCCGCCCTGCAGAGCTGGGCTCCTGCGGCCGGGGCGGTCCAGGGGGAAGCCGCGCGGGGGGCGAGGTGGCGCATTGGCCAGGCGGCCTGGGGGGGCTTGGCTCCCACCCCCACCCCCCGCACGCCCCTGAGGGACAAGGCCCAGCTGCTGAGCCGGTCAGGCCATAAAATGGATGGAGACCAGGGACGGAGTCAGCAGACAGCCTGAGTACCTTTTAAAAATGTAATCTCTTTTTATTTCCGTCCTCTGCCCTCCTCCCTTCCCACCATAACCTCCCCATCACCCCTCCCGTCTTCCTGTGCAGCGCCCGGGCTAGCGGTGACCTTGGTGCCTGGACCTCAGTGTAGGGTGGCTGAGCCTTCAAGGGCACCCCCCTCACCTTGCGGATCCCTGCACTCAGCCCTGCCAGCCCCTGGGGACGAGTGGCAGGCTTCAGCCTGGTGGCCAGGAACTGCCCCCCTCCAAGCTGACCCCACCCCTACAAATCCCCTGCACTGGGGTGGCCTGGAAACCCCAGACGGGGCCCCTGCGGCTGCCCACTGGAGGAGAAGGCAGGAGGCCTCCTGCCCGCTCCTCGGGTGGTGGAAGGGGCACCTGTGGCTTCCCACTCACTCATTGCTCACCCGACCCCACCGTGTGGCAACTGCACTCAATCAGCCCGGTTTATGACCAAGGCAAGGGAGGCTGGTGGGCTGGGTAGGTGCCCAGTGGCCTGCTGCTGGACAGCCAAGCTGGGCCTGGGACCTCTCTGGTCACCCTGCCCAGGCCCTGGGCACTGTGTTACGGCCACAGCCTGCAGGAGCCACATCATGACATCCAGTCCTCGGGTGGGGGATGGGTCCCAACAGTCACCAGCCGGGGGCCTCAGGAGGTCTCCTCCCAAGAGCCTGGCCTGGCCCTGCTGAGCTTTTCTATGTCCCTGTCACTGATCAGTTCCTGGGCCACCAGTGTTCCCCCAGCTGTGGGCCACCCATCTGGCTACGGCTGCCACAGCCCCAAGGCCCACGGTCACCAGATCTCGCCCTTTGTCTGGGGTACCAGGTACTGTCCTTTGTGGTGGGAGAAGCCAAAAGAAATAAAAGGGATGGTCTTGCCCCAAACAAGCCAGCAGCCTCCTGCGGGTCAGGGATCAGGGAGGAGACGCCACGCGGGGAAGAGATTGAGAAGGATGCAAAGGTCCCTGTCCTCCAGGAACGAAGTGGCCAAGTTTGGGGGCCGGCAGACAGGAGGAGCGGGCCCTGTAGCCCACGTGCTCCACGGCAGAGGCTGTGGCGGGAACCGTGCAAGGAGACTGTGAAGGCCGGGGAGAGCGTCCACCGGTAAGGAGCGGGCGGCCGCGGCAGAGGCCTCCACAGGAGACTGTCAGCAAGTGTGGGCACCTCTGGGCAGCTGTGCCAGGCAGGGTGGGGCAGGGGGTGCAGGGAGATGGAAGGAGATTGGAGTGAGAGAGACAGAGGTGAGCAGACAGACGTACATCCAGAGAGAGACAGGAGAGAGAGACCAAGAGGAGGAGGCCGGGTGGAGCAGACAGGGAGGCCAGGCGGCCTCCTGCTGAGCGGAGCTGGGCAGCGGGGGCCTAGGAGGGACACTGCCCACATGCTGGCTGGTCACACCCACCCTCCCAGATGACGACATCCAGCTGCCCTGGGCCCTGACCAAGTCCTCCCCGCCCTGCAGGTGGGCAGAGTGGGACTTCCCAGCCACCCATCTGTGAGCACGACCCTGCGGAAGCCGGTCCCCAGAGCTCCTCCCTGCTCTCTCTCCTGGGGTCGCCCCCATGGGCCCAGCCACGTGCCCCCTACTCTCCTGCCCGACTTCTCCCCAGTGTTGCCAGAGCCCGATGACCACACCCTCACTGGGGGTGATGATCCTTCCAAGCAGCCTCAGCCTCCACCTGGGAGCCCACCGTTGGGGCCCAGGAGGCTCCTGAAGGCCTGGCAGGCAGGCCGTGAGATCTGGGGGTGCGTCCTTGTCTCTCGCGTGCACACACACATGTACACGCATGCACACGCACGCACACACGTACACGCACATGCACACGGTGTTTTCCACCGCCCCGTCGCTCCTCTGCCCCAGGCTCTCAAACGGGGCTTATCTTGCAGCTGTGTCAGCTCGGCAAGCTTGGGGTGCTTGTGGGGGTGACAGGGGTTACAGGGGGCTAAAGTGGCCCCTCAATGCCATCATCCCTGCAGGTGCAGGTCAGAGGGCATCTTCCCCCTCCTCCCTCAGTTCTGCTCCCCCCACAGCCTCTGGCCAATGGGGGAGACCCTTGGGACCCTGAAAGGGGCCTCGTAGGACCAGTCTGTGCACCCTGCCCAGGTCTGCCCCTCTCTTCTTGCTGCCTGGGTGTGAGGCCCCCAGCAAGGCAGAGGGGGCAGATTGGTTTCTTCTGTTCCGTGGTTTAACCCTTCACTGCACTGGCTCTGGCTTCCCAGCCTGAGTTCCTGGAGCAGCTCTGGCTTGTGCCTTGGAACACTCCCAACCCCACTGCTCAGCCCAATCTCTGCCCTCATTTCTCCACCACTGGCTGGTTTTATATTCCTGGCTGGAGACCCTGGCCCGGTGACCCTGGGCATTCTGTCTGAAGGTGCCCCCCCTCCCCCCCCATGTCCCAGCCTCCTCATCCTCAACGCCATTTGAAATCCATGGCATGACGTGCTTGGTCCCATGTGGCCAGGCACAGACTTATGTAGGGCAGGCATCAGCTCCCTGGGGGCCACCTGACATGAGAAAGCAGGTTACAGCCCCCAGGCCTCAGGGCCAGGAACATCCATAAAAACCAGCTGGGAACTGTGCGTGGGCTCTGGGATTTCAGGGCGTTGGCAGCGTGTCCGAGCAAACCAGTGGTGGTCTGTGGTTGAACAAAGTCACACCCAGCGTCCTTCAGGATCTTTGGTTTTCAGGGGTCTCTACCCGCTGAGTGCTGTATGAAGAACAGGTATCAAATATATACACGCTTAGTCCCCAGTCTTGGTGTTTTGTTAAATATAACTTTATTATTCCATTTCTCCAAAAAAATTAAGTTTTCTAACTCTAATGAGACAGAAAAGACTCACGAAGCCAGCAAGGATAAGTGCTCATGTGTAGATTTGGCGTCTGCAGGGCCCACCTTTTGGGGGGAGGGTACAGCAGTGACCATCTGGGGATAAAAATGCAGGGGTGGGGCCTAGGGGACTTGGGACTGCAGGAACCGGGCCCAGAGTGGCTTGCAGCCCTGGCCGGTCTCTGGTCCAGCCACATCTAGGGGAGGCTGGTGGCGCCCCTTCCGCATTCTCTTTTTTTTTTTTTTTTTAAAAGATGACTGGTAAGGGGATCTCAACCCTTGGCTTGGTGTTGTCAGCACCACGCTCAGCCAGTGAGCGAACCGGCCATCCCTATATGGGATCCAAACCTGGGGCCTTGGTGTTATCAGCACCGCACTCTCCCGAGTGAGCCACAGGCCAGCCCCCACATTCTCTTTAAGGACTGAAAAGCTGGAGCCTGCCCCTGGGACTTGCCCACTGGAGTCCCCTCTGCCTGCCCACACCTGACCCCAGTTCCCCAGTGCAGCCGGACAGGGCAGCCTGCAGCTCTCTCTTCCCAAACACCCCTCTCTCTCCCACAAAATAATTTAATGCAACTTAATGGCTTGAAGTTGATGTAAAAATTACAGGCATGTGCGGGTGGGGTGGGGGCCTCGTAAGAAATCCTTTTGAAAATATAATTGAGTTAATGGAGCCATAACTATGTCTCATTTTGGGGGGTAATTGGCCTGCTTTTTGTCACTCCGTCCATTTACATATTCCTGTTTTCTTTTTGCTATTGATTTTTTCTTTATAAAGTGGGCCACTTTACTGCAATTTTTAAAGCCCCAGTGATGAATAAAACCTCATCTTCCCACTCATTAAAACACAGGAATTAGCCAGGCTCAGGGCCCCCGCCAGTCAATTTACTTAGAGACCAGTGTCTGGGGGCTGCCCGCAGCAAGAGGGGTCCACCTCCAGGGGAAGAAGTAAGAAGGCCGCCCCAGGGTTAAGGTCTCCCAGACCTTGACCTTGACCTTGGGACGCCCCTCCCCTCCTGGCCCTCCTCCCCTGCTGAAGGCTTTGGCCTTGGAGACGCCTGCCTCCGCCCCAGCCTACCTGATTGTGGCTGTAATTCAGAGGCTCCCCCCACCTGCCTCTGACTGCAGATCAAGGTCACTCCTCCTTTAGAAAATATTTTTTTAATTATAAAATCCATACACACACAAAGTAAATGACTCCAATGGTACAATGGATATGAAGCAAACGTTGGCCTCTCCCCCACATCCCAGTCTCCAGAGACGGCGTCTGCAAACTGCTCCCGACCGCCCTCCCAGATATTCTCCACGCAAGTGGGGGCGTTTATTACACGTGCAGTCTTAAAAAACCTAATCCTATACCTGCCACTGGCAACCTGGTGTTTCTTTTGTTTTAGTTAATATCAGTTGGAGATCTTCCATAGTGGCACCGACAGATCCACATGCTATTTTTCGTGACTTTGTACTATTCCTTCGCCTGTGTGCATCACAGTGTGTTTATTTTATGTTATTTTATTTTATTTTATTTGTCTTTTTTTTGTGACCGGTAAGGGGATCGCAACCCTTGGCTTAGTGTCGCCCGCACAGCGCTCAGCCAGTGAGAGCACCGGTCATCACTATATAGGATCCGAACCCGAGGCGGGAGCACCACTGCACTCCCAGCGCCGCACTCTCCCGAGTGAGCCACGGGGTTGGCCCTCACAGTGTGTTTAGAGCAACTGACCATCCTGGATTGGGGGGATTAAGGGGTTCCCCAGGCACTCTGGGACAGTTGGTCAGTTTATGCATATTTAGCCTGAGTCTTCCTGTTGGACATTTAAGTTGCTTCTAATTTTTCAACATGACAAATTTCACTGCAAAGGACATCTCTGTTCATGTATCTTTATGCCCTTATGCAAGTATATCTGCAAGATAAAATTCCGAGAAGACAAATCACCAGGTTAAAAGGTTTGAATATTTCATATTTTGCTCGATATCACCAAATTGCCCAGCAAACATACACATCCGATATGCACATCCCTCCCTGCCTGTATTAGTCCATTTTGTGCTGCTATAACAGAATACCTGAGACTGGGTAATGTATAAAGAACAGAGGTTTATTTGGCTTATGATTCTGGGACAGCTCCATCTGGCACGGGCCTCCGGCTGCTTCTACTCACAGTGGAAAGTGGCAGGCAGCCGGCGGGTACAAGCAGATCACATGGCAAGAGGAAGCAAGAGAGAGAGGGGAGGTGCCGGGGTCTTTTAAACTACCAGCTCTCCTGGGAACTAGTAGAGTGAGAACTCACTACCCCTCCAACACTGCCACATTGGGGATCAGATTTCCACATGAGTTCCGGGAGGACAGCACATCCAGACTCCATTACCACCTGAGGATGAGAGTCTGTTTCCCTGCATCTTTGGCAAAGCTGGATGTTACCAATCATCCTGACCTTTGTCATCTGTTAGGTGGCAAATAGAATCTCATTGGGTTCTTTTTTTAATTAGCTTTATTGAGATACACTCTATGGGCTGGCTGGTTAGCTCAGTTGGTTAGAGCACAGCCTTGTAACACCAAGGTCAGGAATTCAGATCCCTGTAGCCAGCCAGCTGCCAAAAAAATAAGTAAAATAAAATAGAACTTCAAATAAACGGATTGATGCAGAACATACTCACTGCTTTGGCTTATCACAACGATTCTGGGATTCGTCCATGCTGTCTTGCGTACAGGGGTTCTAGCCTCTTTGATGCCGAGCAGTATTCCGTGGTCTGCACCGACTGCCTCTGTGCCACTCACCTGTTGTTGGACAATTGGGTTCTCTCCAGTTTGGGGCTATTTATGCATAAAACGGTTATGAACGTTTGGGTGCAAGGCTTTATGTGAGTGTCTGTTCTCAGTCCTCTCAGTAAATACCTACGAGTGGGATGGCTGGGTCACGTGGCAGGTGTATGTTTCATTTTTTCTAATGTTGCCAAACTGCTTTCCAAGGTGGCCGCACCGTTGACATTCCCGCCAGCCGTGTTCGAGAGCTCTGGTTCCCCCACGTCCCCGCCAGCACCTGACACTGTCTGTCTTTTTAATCTTAGTCACACGGCAGGTGTGTGGCCGAGTCTCATCGTGCTTTTAAATCGCATTCCCCCAATGAGTGTGTGATCTCTCCATGTTTGTTAACAGTGCTGTTTTTGTTTTTTTTTTTCCTTTTTGTCTTTTTTCGTGACCGGCAACGGATTGCAACCCTCAGTGTCGCGCCCGTACCTCGCTCAGCCAATGAGCAGCCGGTCTGTATGTGGGATCCGAACCCTCGGCAGGAGCGCCGCCGCACTCCCAAGCGGCACACTGTAGCAGTGCGCCACCGGGCCGGCCCAGTGCTGTTTTTATCACATGGAAATTTCAGACGAGTGCGCTGCACTTCCCTTTCTATGGTCGCCCGGTTCCCTCACGGTTCCCTTTCACACCCCAGTCACGATGGCTCAAACCCTCCGCTTATTTCTAAGAGCTTCTAAAGGGCCACAGCCCACGCCCGGGCTCTCACGCCCCGTCTCCTCCTCCCTGGCCACGCTGCTTGTCTTCCGAGGCTTCGTGGAAGGCTGTGTAGAGATGGACATCGACATCTCTGTGCACCTGGGACCGCAATGCCACCCCGGGGCCCTGTCCCGCAGCTGGTCTCTGGGCATTGGGGTGGGGGATGCTACTCAGGCAGTGCCCGAAGCAGCTTTGCCTGTTTCTCACTCATGGGGCTCCCCCAGATGGAAAGGCCTGGGATTTACAAAACTAAGCCACATTCACCCACCCCGAGATGAGCCCCCATGCGGGCGGCTGAGGCCCAGAGGGGAGGGAGCTCGATGCGGGCGAGGCTGCCCAGCTGGGGATCGAGTGGTCTCACCTGACCAGCGAGCCCAAGCCACCTGTTCCACCAGGGCTCAGGGGCCCTCGGATCTGTTCCCCTTCCTCCCAGGCACATGGCTGCATATCCCAGCAGCCCCTGTAGCCACGGTGACTACGTGCCTAAGTTATGAACAATGGATTGTAAGCTAATGTGGCGGGAAAGAGGACAAGAGGAGCCCCCTCGGGAGGCCGCATGAGCCGTCCTGCCAGCCTGGACCTCAGCAGGCAGTCAAAGGTGTGGGAAGGCCACCAGCAAAGCCAGTCATCATAGGCCTCTTGGAAATAATCTGATATCTGATGCTTCCAAAGGGCGTCAAAGTAACTAATGTAGGACCAGCTCAGCCCTGTGTTGAGGGGGGTGGGCACCTGGCCCTCCCAGGGCCCCCATGGGCCTTGCCCCGTGCCCCCCCCACTGCACCTCTCCCCATGGCCGGCCTCCCGTGGTGCCCACCCCCTCCCAGAGACCCTCCTGCCCCATCGCTCCTCACCACACCCTCTCCTGTGTCTCACACCTCTCACACCTGGGCCCCCCACTGGTCCTCACCTGAGAGACTCTCATGTTGAAAAGCCACATTTACAGCCCCCCCCGTACACTAACTCTATCCGTGTGTGCTGGGCTGCGGAACGAGCTCTGTGACATCTCAGATCACAAGGATGGCTGGATCCAGGCCTCAGGTGTGGCCGATGCACAGGGGAGAAGACAAGCCCACCTGAGCTGGGGCTCTTCCTGCGGGTACAAGGTGTTCTCTGTTTTCATGGTGTTACCCAAACAACCCAAATGTCCGCAACTCCTGCACTGGGAGCAGAGCCTGCTCAGGACGTGCTGCGGGGGCTGGGTGCGGTGTACGCGGGGGGTGGGGGGAAATGCGAGGAGAGAGGCAGCGAGTGGGGCCGGATTGAGCAGCAAGGCCACCCAGTGCCTCCCCACCCCGCTTACGCCCACCCCTGGCCCATACTCGCCGTCCCCTCCCACCCCAAGCTGGGCCCAGGCCAGGGAGACCCACAGCTGCTGCGACTGAAAGGGCATTTAGATGCCACCTTCCTATCAGAGAAGAGGCCTTCAGGACGAAGCAGGGCAAGGACAGAGGACAGCAGGGAGGGTTTAGGTTAGACTTTAGGGCACCTTCCTTCCCAGCCTGGGGCTGTCCATGCACATCGGGAGGAGGCCTCAGCACAGTCGGTCTTTCGCTGCGCCCCACAGGCCAGTCCTCTGGTAAGTGCGACCATCAGGTCTATTCACAGGGAAGGACACTGAGGCACAGGGAGGCTGAGTGGCTTCACACAGGGCACCCCCACCATGACCCTTGACCCCACACTGCTAGTGCAGCTCCGCACCCCAACCGGGACCCCATCCAGCCAGGGCAGTGAGGGTCTCGAGCCCCCACTTCTCAGAACTATTAATTCCTCTTATGCCTCAATTATATTTCAATTTCCCCAGTCCTGCATTTCATTTGTTTTTACAGAAATACACGTTTTCTAGGCAGCATCGTGTGGGCCCTGGGTTCCCCAAGCCCATTCCTGAAAGAACCTTCCTTGCCAGCTCCTCGGAGGCTCTTGCATTCCTCGGCTTCAAGGGGCCCCATCATCTCCGCCCCAGGGCTTCTCAGCCCTGCAAGCACCGGGGGCCCCAACCTGCACTCCAGCGGGTGCGCAGGCGAGGTCTGAGGGCCACTGAGAACAGCAGCTCTAGGAGACGTCCTCCAGTGGTTGTGGCCGACACCTGTCACCAGGGGCTGTGCTCACACCCTCTCTTTGCCCATGCTGGGGCGGAGGTCTCTCTGGGCACAGCCCCCAGAAAGCCAACAACCCCCTTATGCAGAAAGGGAAGCTGGAGGGGGTCAGGGCTCTGGACCGGCTGCTGCCACGGCCCCTCTGAGGTGTCCTGGCTGTCCACGGTGGGGAGTCGACCCCAACCGAACCCTTAATGCCACGTGCTCATGGAGCCCAGAGAAGGACCACGGGTGCCCTCTGCTGGGCTGAGTCCCACTGCCAGGAAGGCTGATTGGCCCAGCTCAGTCACGTGCTCAGATCCAGCCATGTGACCCAAGTATGGCCTCGGTTGGCCTCTGATTGGCCATCCTGGGCCATGTCCCCACCCCTGATAGGAGGAAGCACTGTAATTGACAGCTGGGCCAGGGGAGGGGCTGGTGATGGAGACACTGTCTGCTAGGCCTCATTTCTGGATCAGAAGAAACCAGGTGAGGCCGGCCTGTGGCTCACTCAGGAGAGTGCGGTGCTTATAACACCAAGGCCACGGGTTCAGATCCTATATGGGGATGGCCGGTTGGCTCAATGGTTGAGTGTGGTGCTGACAACACCACGCCAAGGGTTAAGATCCCCTTACCAGTCATCTTTTAAAAAAAAAAAGAAGAAGAAACCAGGTGCCTTCAGCCCTTTCATTCCACACAAAGCCTCTGTTTCCCCTCTGGCTCCAGCATCCCGGTCACCCTCTTCTTGGAACCTCCCAGGGCAGGCTCTTCCCTGCCTCCATGCCCCCATGCCCACACAAGCCCACTGGCCACAGTCCAGAGCACCCAGGCCCCAGGGGCTTGGCTCCCGGGGACCCACTTGCAGCTGGGCCAGGCTGTGAGATGGAGAATGAACTGCAACCCCTGCCCATGGTGCTCCAGGTAGGAGCTAGGAAGTAGTGGTGGCTGGTCCTCGGGGCCTGCCCACTGCCCCTGCCCAGCCTGGTATGGCTTCAGAGGGTGGGCCGGTGGGGGTGTAGTCAGGGAGGCAGAGGCCCTGCCCCCGGCCCTGGAGCAGCAGAGGGCCCCAGAGACCCACCTGCAAAGGGGAAATTTGAGGCCCAGAGATGGGGAGGTCTGGCCAGGCCTGGCAGCTCACAGGTCTCCCTAGCAGGACTCGGGGGACCCAGGCCACGTTGTGCACTTTGTCAGTGTTCCTGAGCACCCCTTCTGTCCTGGGTGGGGCTCTGGGACATAGCACCTGCCTGTCCCTGAACAGCTCCCGATGGACCAGGCCAAGACCTCCAGCAGTGGGTTGGGACTTGGGACAAAGGATAGGGTAGGCATGACAACCCCACATCCCCACTTGCCAGCCCTGCACAAAGCCGTGTTGAGGGGGTTTAGGCCTAGATTGGAATCTGGGCGGGGGCTGACATGGGCCTCAGAAGCCTCACCTGGAAAAGGGTTGGAAGAGGGTCTATATCTCTGGGCCGCTGAGCATGTGGTGGGCTGGCAAAGGGCACTCAGCCACCAGCCACTTCCTCCTGTACCTTCCAGAAGTGGGGAGGAGAGCCTCAGGGAGAGAGGCTCTGAGAAGCCCCCCAGCCAGGACAGTAGCGGAGCGGGACATGGTCAGAGGCGGCCCCTGGCCCTCTGTCTGCTTGCCCCTCACCTCTACTGGGGTCAGGATGGGGGCTCAGGACAAAGTCAGCACAGAGACTCAGCAGTGCCCTCGTCACTGTCCTTCCTCTCTGAGAGCTGAGCACGGGAGCAGAGAGGCCCAGAGAGCTGGTGGCCTCCCTGGCCCAAGCCTTGTGTCCCAGTGCCAGCTGGGCCTCCCAGGATGGAGCTGGGACTTGAAGAGGGCTGGGGAGCCCACAGACCACTCCCCATCTCCCGGCCCCCCACGTCCTACACTGAGGATTCAGCCCTGGACCCGTGTTCTCCTGCCTGGCGGTGAGACCAGCCTGTGTCACGGGGCAGGAGTTACTTGGATATGAGAAGTCTGCCAGGGCTGACGTGGGGGACGGTGAGCAGAACTCCAGGAAAATCCCCCTTGGAAAAATTGCCCCAAGTGCTCAGAAAGCATTAGAAACATCATAACTGCTAAGTATTATTAGAATTAAATTGGAAACCTAATAAACACTAGAATCTTGTTGCAAAAAGCAAATTCTCCACTTACCACAGTTCCCCAGGTGTGCCGGAGGGGGCGCCCCATGCCCTACCCCAGGGCAGGCATCCTAAAGGGTCCTGAAGATGGCTGGCAGGCAGCTGGCAGGCAGCGGGGAGCTTCGGCAGGCTGGGGAGGGTTTGCTCTCAGAGGCCCCTTGTCTGAGGGCATGAGGGGCTGAGAAGTGGAGCCAGCTGTTCCAGGAGCCCCAGCACTGGGGTCCTCCCACACCGAGCCTGACCCCCACCCCGCCTCATCCCAGGAGTTGTCACAGAATGCACAGGGCTGTCACTGACAGTGTAACTTCAGCATCTCAAGAAGGGCAGGGAGGGGGTCTGAGCCGCCGCTGGCCCTGGGCAGTGCCATGCCTGCACACTACCCCCATCCCACATAAATCCCCAGGCTCAAAGTGGGCTGTGTAATGCCCGCGTTTGAAGCCCCACCCACAGCCACCAGCACTGCTGCCCTGGATCGGGGTGTTCCTGGCTGTTCCTTGGGGGCTGGGGGCAGGTCTTGGGTCCCACTCTGCCCCCCTTGTGCTCAGGCCTTGTCAACTATCCCCTCCACTGGCACATTCCTTTCTGAGCCTGGGCCTGGCCCCAGGGGACCCCTTCCCTGNCAACACCACGCCAAGGGTTAAGATCCCCTTACCAGTCATCTTTTAAAAAAAAAAAGAAGAAACCAGGTGCCTTCAGCCCTTTCATTCCACACAAAGCCTCTGTTTCCCCTCTGGCCCCAGCATCCCGGTCACCCTCTTCTTGGAACCTCCCAGGGCAGGCTCTTCCCTGCCTCCATGCGAAACCAGGTGCCTTCAGCCCTTTCATTCCACACAAAGCCTCTGTTTCCCCTCTGGCTCCAGCATCCCGGTCACCCTCTTCTTGGAACCTCCCAGGGCAGGCTCTTCCCTGCCTCCATGCCCCCATGCCCACACAAGCCCACTGGCCACAGTCCAGAGCACCCGGGCCCCAGGGGCTTGGCTCCCGGGGACCCACTTGCAGCTGGGCCAGGCTGTGAGATGGAGAATGAACTGCAACCCCTGCCCATGGTGCTCCAGGTAGGAGCTAGGAAGTAGTGGTGGCTGGTCCTCGGGGCCTGCCCACTGCCCCTGCCCAGCCTGGTATGGCTTCAGAGGGTGGGCCGGTGGGGGTGTAGTCAGGGAGGCAGAGGCCCTGCCCCCGGCCCTGGAGCAGCAGAGGGCCCCAGAGACCCACCTGCAAAGGGGAAATTTGAGGCCCAGAGATGGGGAGGTCTGGCCAGGCCTGGCAGCTCACAGGTCTCCCTAGCAGGACTCGGGGGACCCAGGCCACGTTGTGCACTTTGTCAGTGTTCCTGAGCACCCCTTCTGTCCTGGGTGGGGCTCTGGGACATAGCACCTGCCTGTCCCTGAACAGCTCCCGATGGACCAGGCCAAGACCTCCAGCAGTGGGTTGGGACTTGGGACAAAGGATAGGGTAGGCATGACAACCCCACATCCCCACTTGCCAGCCCTGCACAAAGCCGTGTTGAGGGGGTTTAGGCCTAGATTGGAATCTGGGCGGGGGCTGACATGGGCCTCAGAAGCCTCACCTGGAAAAGGGTTGGAAGAGGGTCTATATCTCTGGGCCGCTGAGCATGTGGTGGGCTGGCAAAGGGCACTCAGCCACCAGCCACTTCCTCCTGTACCTTCCAGAAGTGGGGAGGAGAGCCTCAGGGAGAGAGGCTCTGAGAAGCCCCCCAGCCAGGACAGTAGCGGAGCGGGACATGGTCAGAGGCGGCCCCTGGCCCTCTGTCTGCTTGCCCCTCACCTCTACTGGGGTCAGGATGGGGGCTCAGGACAAAGTCAGCACAGAGACTCAGCAGTGCCCTCGTCACTGTCCTTCCTCTCTGAGAGCTGAGCACGGGAGCAGAGAGGCCCAGAGAGCTGGTGGCCTCCCTGGCCCAAGCCTTGTGTCCCAGTGCCAGCTGGGCCTCCCAGGATGGAGCTGGGACTTGAAGAGGGCTGGGGAGCCCACAGACCACTCCCCATCTCCCGGCCCCCCACGTCCTACACTGAGGATTCAGCCCTGGACCCGTGTTCTCCTGCCTGGCGGTGAGACCAGCCTGTGTCACGGGGCAGGAGTTACTTGGATATGAGAAGTCTGCCAGGGCTGACGTGGGGGACGGTGAGCAGAACTCCAGGAAAATCCCCCTTGGAAAAATTGCCCCAAGTGCTCAGAAAGCATTAGAAACATCATAACTGCTAAGTATTATTAGAATTAAATTGGAAACCTAATAAACACTAGAATCTTGTTGCAAAAAGCAAATTCTCCACTTACCACAGTTCCCCAGGTGTGCCGGAGGGGGCGCCCCATGCCCTACCCCAGGGCAGGCATCCTAAAGGGTCCTGAAGATGGCTGGCAGGCAGCTGGCAGGCAGCGGGGAGCTTCGGCAGGCTGGGGAGGGTTTGCTCTCAGAGGCCCCTTGTCTGAGGGCATGAGGGGCTGAGAAGTGGAGCCAGCTGTTCCAGGAGCCCCAGCACTGGGGTCCTCCCACACCGAGCCTGACCCCCACCCCGCCTCATCCCAGGAGTTGTCACAGAATGCACAGGGCTGTCACTGACAGTGTAACCTCAGCATCTCAAGAAGGGCAGGGAGGGGGTCTGAGCCGCCGCTGGCCCTGGGCAGTGCCATGCCTGCACACTACCCCCATCCCACATAAATCCCCAGGCTCAAAGTGGGCTGTGTAATGCCCGCGTTTGAAGCCCCACCCACAGCCACCAGCACTGCTGCCCTGGATCGGGGTGTTCCTGGCTGTTCCTTGGGGGCTGGGGGCAGGTCTTGGGTCCCACTCTGCCCCCCTTGTGCTCAGGCCTTGTCAACTATCCCCTCCACTGGCACATTCCTTTCTGAGCCTGGGCCTGGCCCCAGGGGACCCCTTCCCTGTAGGACAAACAGACCCTGAGCCCTCAACATCTCCCAAGCGGGTGAGCAGGAAGTGTGGCTTCCCAGCAGTGACAGGGTTGTCTGGCATCCAGGCCACTCTGCCCGGGGCGTGGTGCTGAGGGGGACGGGAACAGTGCGCAGGAGAGGGGACCCCCACCCAGCAGTTGAGCTGGGCCCAGAACACCAGGCCTTGGCTGTCCCTGTCTCCTGGAATCGCTGGGCTCAGGCCATCTTTCCTGGCGGGGAAGGGGAGAGGGTTGTCTGTTAGCGGGGGCTTGGTGGGCTCCTCCTCAGAGGTAGAGTCAGGGACACGATGAGACACTGTTGGAGGAGGGAGGACATCCAGCCCCCAAGTCCTGCTCTGGGCCCCGAGGCTGCCCCCTCCCCACCTGCCCTGGGAAATCTCGCAGCAGCTGTTTTATGGAACAACCGGAGGCTGAGGTCAGTGGGAGGCCAGCGGGGGAGTCCGGAGCCCAGCGTGGGTCAGGATGGGGAGGTCCGCCCCCCTCCAGCAGGAGAGCCCCTCCCCGCCCCTTGCCTTGCCGCCCCTGGGCCCCAGGAGGGGTGGGGCAGGCAGGGTGCAGCGCCCAGGCCAGCCGCCAGCGGGGCCGTCAACAATGTGGTTTCAATCTAATTGTCCCAAAATATTGTTACAACACGAACCATGTGCCACCCGCTCACCTGCAACTAATCAGCGGCAAAGCTACCGAATAAATCGGTTCCACACCCCAGGGCCGGGCAGCCCAGCACACGAACCCGGGTGCTCGGGCCCAGGCTGAGGCCAGGCTGCTGCTGGGCCTGTTTCCTGTTGGGGTTGAGAGAGGGGGCTCCCCTCTCTTTGCGACCCCCACTCCACTCTGAGGGGCCGAGCAGGAACAGGCAGCCCCTCGTGTCATAGCCAGCCCAGGCCTGAGGGGGTCAGCCAGGGAGCCGGGACCACACTGAGGTCTGTCCAGGGTCTGACAACCCAGGGAGTCCCCATGTTCTTTCTCTCAAGACCGTGGCCATGGGGGGTCTTCACCTCTGCCGGAAACATCTGCATGTCCAGCAAAGTAACAGCAAGGCAGCCTTCAAAGCCACCAGGAGTTTTGTGGTTGCTATTGTTTTTTTTCTTTTGATAGCTGGCCGGTTCGGGGATTCGAACCCGTGACCTTGGTGTTACCAGCACCACGCTCTCCCAAGTAAGCTAACCAGCCAGCCCATCGGGCATTTTTGGTAAATTTTACTTGAATGATTCCCGCAACACTCAGATTAGCTAAGAATGTCCACACATTTAGCCAACGAGCAAACGAAAGCTCACAGAGGACCCGGACACGCCAGGCCCAGTGCTGGCAGGCTGGGGCATGCAGCGCTCGGGTCCGTGCTGGCACCCTGCACACCAAGGCCAGTTGGATTGATCACAGGTCCTCACAAGGGAGCCCGGCAGCCCGGCCCTGGCCACCAGGGGAGGAAGAGCAGAGCCACCCAGTGAGGGCTGGCGTAGCAGGCCACCCGGCCCTTTCTCCGGGAGCCCAGAGGCCCCATGGCAGCCCTTGATCTTGGTCTTATGGGCAAATGGTGTGTCCGAGTCAGGAAAGAGCCTGACCACGGGCCACCTGCGTGGGCTGCAAATATGGCCACCCTTGACCCTCGGTGGTGGCTTGGGATGGCCCAGCACCTCACGGTGTCTTGAGGTCCCCCAGAAGGAAGGGGCCTGTCAGTGAGGTTGCGTGGGCGCACCTCGTGCCTGTTACCTCTGCACGGTAGGACGGGTGGCATGGCCACCTGCTGGGGGGGAAGCCACATCTCAGGCCTCAGAGTGTACTTTGTCTGAGCTATGGGTACGTGTCCACCCTCCCCTTTCTGGCCGCTGAGCCACCTGCTCGGTGAGTCCCGTGGATGCCCCAGCACCTGCCCACCCGTCCCTTGGTGGCAGCACGAGTTTTTGTGTCTGTGCTCCGGTCCTGCGGTACCAGTGCTAATGACGCTGCCGTAGCACACGACCACAAACTCGGTGGCTTAAAACAGCAGGCATTTATTCTCTCAAATTTCTAGAGGCAGGAGCGAAAAATCAAGGTGTTGCAGAGCTGGGTCCTTCGGGAGACTGAGAGAGAACCTGCTCCCGCCTATTCCGGCCCCTGGCGGCTGCTTGGCAGACCTCAGCGTTCGTTGGCAGAGTCACCCCAGCCTCTGCCTCTGTCTTCACAAAGCCCTCTTTTTTTTTTTTTTTTGTCTTTTGTCTTTTTCCGTGTCCGGCAACGGATCCCAACCCC